TTTTATCCGGAAAACAGCTCAAGGGACCACCCTGCTTCTGTTTTATGTAGATGACATGATTATCACCGGTGATGATATCGATGGTATTCTTCACCTTAAACAGTTTCTTAGCCATCATTTCGAGATGAAAGACCTTGGTCCTCTCAGCTATTTCTTAGGTCTTGAAATCTTTCATGATTCTACGGGTTCTTTTCTCTCTCAGGATAAGTATACCTCTGATCTTCTCACCTGTGCTAGTCTTACGAATTGCAAGACTGCCTCCACTCCCTCGAGCCTCAGAGTCGTCTTACACCTCTTGATGGCACTCTTCTCTCTGATGCTACCCTATATCGTCAGCTGGTTGGCAGTCTTGTCTATCTCACTGTTACTCGTCCTGATATTGCCTATGCCGTTCATATTGTCAGCCAGTTTATGTCGGCTCTTCGTACCCCTCATTATGCTGCCTTAATTCGTATCCTTCGGTATCTCAAAGGCACCCTGTTTCATGGTCTTCATTATTCCGCCCGCTCCTCTCTCCAGCTTCGTGCTTTTTCCGATGCTGATTGGGCTGGAGATCCTACTGACCGCCGGTCTACTACTGGGTTCTGCTTTTTTCTGGGTGATTCTCTTATTTCTTGGCGCAGCAAGAAACAATCTCTTACTGCTCGTTCCAGTACTGAGGCCGAATACCGTGCTCTTGCTGATACTACTCAGGAGCTTCTCTGGCTTCGTTGGCTTTTTGCTGATCTGGGTGTTCCCTCATCTGGTGCTACTGACCTTTTTTGTGACAATCACAGTGCTCTTCAAATTGCTCACAATGATGTTTTTCATGATCGCACCAAGCACATTGAGATTGACTGTCATTTTATTCGTCAACACGTTACTCGTGGTACTGTCCATCTCCATCCGATCTCTTCTGTTGATCAACCTACTGATATCTTCACCAAAGCTCATTCCCCTGGTCGCTTCGTTGAACTTGTCTCCAAACTCCAGTTGGTCAATGTTTTTCCACATTGAGTTTGAGGGGGGCTGTTAATGTATAATGTATATAGTATAATATATTATAGGGCAAAGCATAGAAAGCATAGGATTCTTTTCTTCTTTCGGTTGTAAAGACCAAACACCACTCACACACTTTCATTATTATGCATAGCTTTTGTCTTCTCCTTTCGGTACTTTCTCTATAAATGAGCATCACTCTTGTAACCAACAGATATAGAAATTACAACATTCATTCAGATATCTTACATATCTCACAGTGCCGAGGCACATGCCTGGTTCAAGCAGTATGAATATCGAGCCAATTCAAGTCTTGTGCTGACTACGGACTCTCGGCCTCGTGACACCCACGAGCCCACTGGAGAGCTTGAGTCACTTCATGGGAAGATAGACCCCAAAACCTTTGATGAGTACAGAGGTAGACCCCCTGAGTAACGAGTTAGACGAGAAACTCAATAGATCTAGGAAGAAAAAGGAACGCGATGAGCTTCTCTTGTTTCCGAACCCTTGCCTACTATCACTAGGCATTGCAAGAAAAGCCGCCTTCTTCAATAAGAAAGTGTCCGCGCGGTGCTCCAACATATTGTGATTGGTGGGAGAGTGAGGCCTACGAATTTGTATTGGGTAATTGAAGAATATAAGAAGATATGATAAATTATGATTGGTGAGGGGTATACCTCTAGACCAATCAATAATTTTTCCTCCCTAAGACCAAGGAAACTAGGATTTGGCTCCAGGGAATGTGGCAGCGTGACTCCATGCTTTTACAACTTCCGCACTTCACCAAAGATTTGGCTAAGAAATGCCAAGAGAACCCTGGGAAGAGTATAGAGACACTGTTTGATTTGATGGAGATGGAGGATGATGAAAGGGGTGAGCTCTTGCAAACGTCAGATTTACATTTGATGGCACAGTTTTGCAACCGTTTCCCAAATATTGATCTGACCTGTGATGTGGTAGATGGTGGCAATGTGAGGGCTGGGAAGGATGGTAGTTTGTAGATTACACTTGAACGGGATCTTGAGGGCAGGATAGAGGTGGGAGACACTGATGACCCGAGGTATCCCACAGCCAAAGAAGAAGGCTGGTGGCTTGTGGTTAGTGATTCCAAAACTAACCAGTTGCTTGCCATCAAAAGAGTTTCCTTGCAGAAGAAAACCAAGGTCAAGATTGATTTTGCTGCTCCCAGAGAAAGTGGAAAGAAGGCCTATACTCTCTATTTCATGTGTGATTCTTATGGCTTAGATGTCAAAGAAGCAAGAGCTATTGGATATATGACAGTGGAAGAGAATGAGTGGCATGTTCAGAAGGCTGAACTGATTTTGGGCTTCTGCATCATTGACATGGTCATCTGTATTTATTAATTTTGCTATATATCGTCGCATTGTAAGTTTTTTAACGTGTTATTCCTCTTATTGCTATACCTAGGAATATAGTAACATATAGTTGACGGAAGATGGTTTAAAATTTGTTGCTGGGAAGCCTAGTTTGAAGCTTTACATATTCCCCCATTTCTATAATTTGCTCACCAGTAGTGTCGTTTAGCTAAGCCATAGATAAAACAACTCAAATATGCTATCTACTTGGTTATGCATAATTGATTTTAATAATAAGACTTGTTTTTCTTTTTCTGTGTTTTTAACTTTCAACATATGTAATTATGGTTTTCGTGCCACTCAAAATTTGAAAATTATAGAATAACTGTTGCTTCGGTTTCTGTTCTGTCATTGGTTTTGGTTTACAAGGTCTGGTTCTGAAGGTGGGTTTTGGGAAATCCTGTGTGATCAATTTTTATGATCGATCATGATACAATGAGTGTTTAGTTTTATGATGATAGAATGTTTACTCGGAGCACCTATTGATTGAAATATTTTAGACTGGATACAGAAATGGTTGAAATTATGAGATTTTAGAGCAGAATTTGTAAGGATGTGTGATATGTATTGCTGAAAGACATCCGACATCCTGCTTGCTCATGGGAAGCCATGACTATGGTTTTTTTTTAACTTTTTTTTTTCGGAGTGAAGTTTTATTTGGTGTTAGTTAACAACCATGACTACATGTTGCAATTTCTGCCTGCAAACAGATTTTGAGAAGATGATAAAAAGTGATTTTTTGATTTTTAACGGTGGTTTGAAATGTTCTAAATAAATGTACTTTTTGAGTTTTTATAAAAAAATGTGTAGAAAAGTAGAGAGGAGATGTTGATTGATGTGACCCCAAAAAGATAAAAAGATGGACTAAAATAGGTTATGCTAAACAAGGTTCTTAGAAAGTTGATAAAAAGTTATTTTTGGCTTTTTTGATTAATATTTATTTATGATGTCAAATCACAATAAAATGATTAAATTATTTCCGTTTAATTTAAAATATTTACAATTTTACTCATGTAGCACATTTTGACCCATGAGGGGTAGAATTATAATTTCACCTGTGGCTGAAAATTAACTTTTCAAATGTCCTTAAAAAAAAAAAAATCAACTTCTAATTTTTGCTACAAATGTGATTAAAAGCAACTACAAAATGGGGCCTTTATCTTTTAATCTTGTTTTCTTAGCCAAGCGATTTGTTAAGAATTAGCAATAATTGAAAACAAAAAACAAATTCCTACTTTGTATATTGGTTGTATTCATTATGGGTATGGCTTCTGTCCAGTCTGGGATCGGATTGGACCGTACTGTTGGGCCTGTAGGGATTTACCACGGGTCCTGTTTTGATAATCTGAACCGTTTAATGTGTAGAACTCGTTGAGTACTATATGCCTGTAAAAAATCACGTTGATCGGATATCGATAGCTATATGATCAAATCAGTTTCGTATTAAAAAAATTGGACGGTGAACAAATTAACTGTTGACAAAAAACTGTTTTGATCACATAGCTATTGATATTCGATCAACGTGATTTTTCACAGACATATAGTACTCGACGATTTCTACACATTGAACGGTTCAGATTATCAAAACAGGACTCGTGGTGGGCCCTCACAAGTCCAATAGCACGGTCCAGTCCGATCCCAGACTGGACAAAAGCCATACCCATTCATTATTATTGAGAAATTACAATGAATTTGTCTTTGTTTGTATAGTGATAATTATCATTGATTTATAGTTGGTCATTGATTTCGATCTAGATGTGAAAACTTGAGCACCGTATAATTCAATTAAACATAAGTAGACAGTTGATAACACAATTCACATTTTGTTTCTACTTTCTATAATTGCTGACTTGGTACAATACTTAAAAATACTGTACTACTTGGTACTTAAGCAAAGTAGTAATTAGTATTAGAAATCTGTTTAGTAAAACTTTTAAAATTTAATTCTATCTTTTAGTTTTAGTGTGTTGTTTGATTATAATTTTAGAAAATTAATTTTATATTTACTTTTTAAAACATTTTTCAAAATATCTACTTTTCAATATTATATTTCACATCACTTAATTTAAATTCTTTTTAAAACTCTAAATATATGTTTTATACTTAAATCATAATTTTAAAACTCACAAATTCAAAATATAATTTTATTTTCAAATAATAATTCTAATGCTCTACCAAATGCAATCTTAGATTCCCTGGAGTTTTTAAAATTTAATTCCACCCTTTAGTTTTACTGTAGCGTTTGGTTAACATTTTTAAAAGTTAATTTTAAACTCATTTTGAAAACATATCTACATGATCATTTTTTCAGACGTTTCCTGAACGTTCGTCTGAGGCTATTTTTTTTAGGGTGAATAGGCTATTTTTTTTTTTAATCTATTATTTTTATATTTTAAATAAAAAATATTTTTAAATTTTTTAAAATTCTTTTTATAAATTTTGAATAAAATTTTAGATTGTGTGTTTGGTTATGAGTTGTAAATTTTTATATCAAATATTATGTCACATTACTCAATTCAAAACTCTTTTCAAAACTCATAACTAAACAAATTTTCTATATTCAAATCATAATTTCAAAACACACAAACTCAAAATATAATATATAATTCTATTATCGAATCATAATTTTAAGACATAATTCTAAAATACTACGAAAACATGACCTCAGAATTCCACATCAACACATCATACACAGTAAGTTTTTACTGCATACACAGATAAATACATACATAGAGGCAGGCAGTAAGTAAAAAGGTAAGGGATGGATAGATGATGAGGATGATAAGATAAAGATAAGATTACACGAGAGAGAGAGAGAGAGAGAGAAGTATCGTGGTTATCACTGTGAGCACAGCAGTGGGGAAGTGGTCAATCGTCATAGATACGGCATTCGTCGGTTTCAGGGTTGTCCTGGCAGAAGAATTCGAGGGGATCTTGTTTCTCCAGAAGCTTGAGGCGGAGGTCAGCCTTGGCCTGGCTCACCTCCTCCACCTCGTCCCACGCTACCTTGCACTCATCCGATCTCTCATCTCCCTCGCACACCTCTTTCGCCTCCTCCACTTTCTTTGCTATCATCTCCGCCAGCTTCTTCTCTCTCATCTGCGTCCCTTTGTACTTCGCCACCCCTCCACCACCGCTTCCACTTCCACTTCCCCCAATTGCTTTCACCGCCTTCCCCTTCATCCTATTGTTGTTGTTGTTTTTGCTTCCCGTACGGATCGAACAAAAACCATCACCAGATCGAAGATCCCCAAGAAGAAGAAAAAGAGGAGGAGGATATTGGGTTTGGATCATCGTCAAATTGATCGAAGCCACCCGTGTTACTGTCGAAGAACCACTCAAAGCTGCTGTAATAAAAGATGCCATAGATCGTTTTCCAAAATTTCCAAACCCCCCACCCCAATCAATCCCCCCCTAAAAAAAAACAATTACTATTAAAACAAATAAACTTGAAAATAATAATAATAAAAAAAACAAACAGAAAGAAACAAATTCCAGTAGATATAGATTCAACCCTTGAGCGGATCGATCTTGTTGAAAGCACAACTCAAAACTCACCTGCTCCCCTAAAAAAAAAACAATTACTATTAAAACAAATAAACTTGAAAATAATAATAATAAAAAAAACAAACAGAAAGAAACAAATTCCAGTAGATATAGATTCAACCCTTGAGCGGATCGATCTTGTTGAAAGCACAACTCAAAACTCACCTGCTCTCTCTTTCTCCTCGTTTTTCCCGTTCTCCCCTTTCGTCTTTTTGTTTTACTGATGGTGTGGTGTTGGTGTTGGTGATGGTGATGTAAAGAAAAAGAAAACCCATAAGTAATTGAATTTACACAAATACCCAGAGCAGGGCATTTAATGCAAGCCCACAGACTTCAACCCACAATCAAAGAAACGGATAATGTTTGTTGGGAATGGGTCCACTACCCCAGCCAACTGTTATCATCACCAAATACTGTGGGCCGGACGTTTGTATCTGTGTACGTGTATATTTACCATCTCATTCTCATCCTCCTCCTTATCTCTTCATCTCATCATGGGGGTCGGTGGAGATTAGATTGACCAAAACAAAATTATGAGAAAATTACAATTGGCCTTTACAAAATATTTACCATTTTTTTTTTGGTAATTTTACTTGTTAAGGTTCCGTTTGATGAGGAGGTTTGAGGTTATGCAACAACAGATAAAATAGGTTATTTTAGTCACATCAAACAAAACATGACATTTAATTTATAATCATTACACTCTTCTCTCATAAAAAAAGTTAAAAAAGTCAAAAATTCCTTTCCAAATCAAATTTTTTAGTCAAGATTAAAATAGTTAAAAAAGTCAAAAAGTTAATCCACTTTCCAAACGGATGCTAAAATTGGTAAAACTTTTCACTGATTAAATTTTTTTTTGAAAGATGCACTGTGTTAAAATTTTTCCAAAAATTATTTAGCAAATTCAAATTAAATCACATATCCATTGCTTTTTATCAATAATAAAAGGATGGGTCATTCTACCATCAATGATGTTTTAGAGTTATAATTTAAGAGTGTTAATAGAACTTTAATGATACGGACAGTGCCCATGTAATATGAGATTTACAGTCTTTTCTTTATCTCTCTACTCTCTCCTATCTTATTAGAACTCCAATTAAAATTACTATTTTAAAGTTATGTATCACTGCTTTTCTACCATGTATATTCCTTAAGAAAGCTGTTATCATATAAAAGTTATTAAATTATTTTTAGTTATATTTAAAAAAATATCACAATAAATTGTAATTAAACATGATTTGAAATATAACTAATGACCTCTTTAGTTATTTATTTATTTTTTTTATTTGCAAAAGTTAGTTGTTAGATTAGCATAGATATAGCCTCCACATACTTTACAAAACATCAAGGGTGTGTTTGTTTGGACGGACTAGATAAGAGAAGATTGTAATCAATCGGACTATTAGTCATGGGATACATTGTCCCCGGATTATTTGGTTGGACTGAATTTGTATCCTATGTTTGTTTAGTCATGGAGATTAGATGTCTGGATTGGACTATTTTTAGTTATCCAATGTTTGTTTGGGATATTATGGAAAAGGAAAAATGCTCAAATGACTATTTTATCATTTTCAATTATTTACTAAGTAATAGCAATATTGAACATAGCTTTAATATTTTAATTATTTTTAGCTAGATTAAATAAAAATTTATTTTATTTTATTTTTTGCACAATTATATAAATTTATTTTCAAAACATTAAATAAATTAAATATCAATAAAAATATATATTATTTTTTTTAATTAAAATTTTAAATAAATTTATTTTAAATAATAATAATAATTACATATGAAATAAAATAAAACATCTATTAAAATTTAAATAATGAAATTAAATAAAATATAAACAAAATTTTAAAATAAAACATCAATAAAATATCTATAAAAATTAAATAAATAAAACAAATTTAAAAATTAAATAAAATTATTATATTTTTAAATTGAAACATTTAAATTTTATTGAATTTTACTAAATATAATACATAATTAAATAGCAGAGGGCAAAAATGTAATTTTCGTAGCTAATCCCATGGGATGAGTTATCACATGGTTTCTATCCCACACCCCCCCATGGGATAGCATAGTCCCACAAATATGGGACTAATAGTCCGGAGGGATTATTAGTCCGGACCAAAAAATTCATACCAACCAACAGACTATAAATCCATCCGGACTAGTAGTCTAATCCCATGGTATTATCCTTCAAAACAAACATGCTCTAAGTGCTTGCCCTTCTAATTAAACTCCCCTTAAGAAGAGTTAACACATAATCTTCCTTTAGGGAATAAGTCCTTACAAAAGTCATGTAGTCAACTACATTAGGCTTAATTGGTTAAAGTAACAATTATTGTAAGTCATAACTAATATTACAATGATTCATAATTAATGGTCATAATTAAATATCATTTGAGGTATAACCAAAGACCTAAATCATAACCAACACTACAATGAATTAAATCATAACCAATACCGTAATGAATCATAATTAAAGCATAACACCTAAAGACTACTAAAACCCTAATCATAATTGTGGGCACAAGGTAGAGACACCTTTTTTTGATTCGTGTATTATAAATTTTTCTAAAAACATTCATAATTATTTTGTTTCTGTCTTGTTTTTTAAAAACAATATAAATTATATAGAGGAATAGAAATATACCAAGAGATAACTAAAGTTTTTCTCTCTCTAGAGAGCTCGGGTTTTTCCTCCTGGTGAGGGTATTGCTCATGTTTTGCTTCAATACATGTTGGTCATTCTCTGTTTCGGTTGTTCAATGTCCTTGGTTTCCTTGCTTTCTTCCTGGTGGTCACAATCTTTGTTTCTTGGTTATCTTTAAGCCTTTCTAAGTGGGCTTTCAGTCAACGTCTTTGTTTTTTCCTTTTACATCTGTGGTCCTTCTTTTGGCCTAATCCTGTGGTTGTTCCCCCTTGGGTAAACATACGTGGTCTACCTTGCTGTGGTGGGCAGAGTGGTCCCCAAGGGTGGTGAGGTCATCTACAACCTTGACACCCGATGACGACCTCGTACTTACGGGAGGGTGGCTGGACTGATAGCAGTGGAACAGAAGTTGGTAGTGAATACTCAGAGGAAAGGCGGAATTTGCGGCCTCATCAAGTGTTTCATCCTCCCTCGCAACATCAATTCCGGCGTGGGTTGAGCATGGAGTTAGCCGATTCCACGTGGCAACTTGAACAATATGAGTTGGATCGCTGTTTGATTGGCTATGTTGCCGATGTTCGTCGTTTTGGCTCCTATCTTATGCAAATGCATGTCAATGAACTATGGAATTTGGAGGGGGCTGTCCATGTTTATGGCCGTAGTAAAAATCATTACGTTTTTCTATTTGAACATCTCAGCGACATGCATCGTATTGCTGAAAATGGTCCATACGCTCTCCAAGGGGCTCTCCTTATTGTTGATTATTGGAAGCCAGATTTAATTCTAGATCGGTTGATTTTTGACAAAATGATGGTTTGGGTTCAACTCCATGGGTTACCGTTAGAATGTTTCACGGAAGAAGCTGGGTTCAGTCTCGGACGAGCGGTTGGCGACGTGGTTAAAGTAGATATGGACTCTCTAATGCCTCGCAATATTCGCTTTCTTCGTATCCGTGTATGGGTTTTTCTTGACAAGCCTTTATGCAGTGGTTTCTTCCTCAAGCTTCGTGATGGGCACCAACATTGGGTCCGTTGTTGTTATGAAAGGGTGTGTAAGGTCTGTCGGAATTGTGGTCGCATAGGCCATACGATTACAACTTGCTCCCTATCGTTCGCAGAGGCTCAACGGTTTCTCAATGACCATTTCCAGGATATGGGTAGGCAGCTTCATTCCCCGGTCATCACTCAAGAACTGCACCCGATGTACTCTGCTAGTATTCGGGCTAATGCCCATCGGTCGGACCGTCGCACTACACGTATTTTTCAAACTGCTTCTAGTTCCCGTATGGAGATTCCGGAAGAAGCAAGCCCATCCACTATTAACCAGACGGTTACCTCGAATGATGATTTTGCTGCCATGTGGGAGCAAGATTGGGATGATGGGTTACGCCAAGGCACGCCTGAGGGTAGTGAACCAATGGTGTCAGCACCCACGAACAACGGAGTTCTCCAACCCATACCTCCTGCAGAATTCCGTTCGGTCGATTCCGATGTTCTTTCGGGGTTAGGTCAAATTCCGGTGGATTCGGTAGGTGAGTTAGAGGTAATATGGAATCAATGGGAGGGTCATCTCTCATCAATGGGGATCAGACCAGGACAGCTGGTGTTAGTCGAAGTCGGCGAGTTGACAACTTCGCTGCCTCAACCACCCTCTCAGGGTGATAGTTCTATTAATGGCTTTGACAGGATTACCATCGCTGACTCTGCGGACAAGGTACTTCGAGCGCTTCAAAGTACTGGGCCTGGCCCACGATTGAATATCCCTATGGGTGAGGCCCCAATGCTCACTCGAGCTTTCTTGCTCCCCGGCCCAAGTACGGTACCACAAATGGACTCAGCCACCTTTGAAATTGGGCAACCCAGCTCGGTTATAAATTTGGACTCTCACGGCTCACCTCATCTTTCGGGGTCTACTACTCTCGCTCCCCCTGATTCAAGTGTTGGTGGGCTTCCATTACGGAAAAGGATGCGAGAAGTTGACTCGGGCTATGAACTATTATATGACACAGAGGCTTTGGCTGTGATAGATGAGTTACGTGACCTAGGAGAGGGCTGTGCTGCCGAGTTGGCCATGCATCGGAATGGGATTGTTTCTGATTCACAATGCTATCCTCACAGATTGGGTTATTTTTTATGCAACCAGTTCAGCAGATTGAAGCGAGCTCGGCCTGTTCAGCCGATTACAGTGCATGGCCATGCACCTCCGTGGGCAGTCCGTGATATGCCCACCAGGTTTTCATCTCTCCGTCGGCGTCGGAAGTTACGGTCTAGACAACGCAAACTCCGAGCAGCTACGGGGCCATCAAGCTCACGTCGGGGGCAGAGTTCTCGACAGAGTAGAAGATCTTCAGCTCCAAATGTTCTATCTGCTTCAACCCGCTTGCCGTCAGAATCGGGCTACGATACTGGAGCCAGCTCCTCGGACAGCCACGGGTCTTGTTATGTGAGTCTCCAGTCCAGAGTCCTTCCGGACTTCGATCGCGTACAACAACAAACACACCGTTTTATGGCCTTAGATTTGGATCGAACTCGGGTCTGTAATCAGTGGGTTTCGCAGGAGGTTGTCCCACAACAACCTCCTTGTTCGCCATGAAACTTTTCAGCTGGAACTGCAGGGGCCTCGGTCATCCCCTGACAGTTCAAGCAGCTCGCAATTTGACCCAGCGGTACAAGC